GGAGGTTGGAGACATAGGAGCAGTGATGAGATCCTCTCAAATTTTTATTTGTTGCCTTTGTAGGATTCGGAACTCAGCGAAAACTCATTCAAAGTCTTTCTCAATTCTGTTCTAAAAGTGACTTCATGGCGTATACCGTCTGACCTTATAAATTACAACATATTCTCGGTATTTCATTCTTTTTCCGAGCCAGTTACATACACGTCGCTCCGTATCCACTTCAATGAATAGGCTCTAAATGGCATGTTCCTAGTGAGTAGTTATTGCTTATTCATGAGGCGAACGGCCATATGTATTGGATGGGGGTTACTGGTTCTCCCCATTCGGTGCTGAATTGAATGTCTTTCAAGGAATGAAGGGGTAATACCAAGCGGTAGCCGGTCCTTAGTGAGATACGCCATTTCCTCGATTCCCAAGCAGAACTGGAGAAGCATTAAAAAGCGTATTGGCCCACACAAGGACCTTTTGAAGCCTTTGGATTCTTAACTTTCTGCAGATTTCGTGCTTGGCTCACAATGAATAGGTACCTCATAAAGGCGACTTTGTTATGGTTAGGCTGACGGCTTCCATCTTTGATGAACCCTGTCTCAGCTAGCAGCTCCTCTACTACCGTCTCCTGACACCCTTCATAAAAAATCGTCGGCAATAGTGGTTAATCAATAACTGGTAAATTATTGACCCATAGCCTTCCTGAAAATCCATTTTTTCTCATCACAACTTATAATTTCGTCTTTTTTGTTGGATTGACTGGCATCAAATATTGATTTTCTTTCGCAAAAACGACAATCACCACAGTAGATTTCGATATTAACGACACATGTCCCTGAATCTCTACCACTCCTATCTTCTTCTACAATTTTTTTCTCGAAACTTCTTCGGAACAAAACCCATCTCTTAGGTTTGGCGGATCCTTTCCGATTTTCGCAATCCGATTCTACCCTCTTACGCGCTACGCTGATTTCTTAATCAAAGGAATATTTCTTTGGTTTTTCGATAGTCTTGACATTTTGCATACCAGAATAGCGTTCGAAATGGAGCCAATTTCTCTTTTAGAATGCGGCTAATCAGGGTTGTTTTCAGTCAGTCACGTTGTTTATCCTAAAAGCTGCAAAAAAGTCAGTCAACAAGGCCATCTCACGTTGACTGCTGCATGTTTCTGGTCTAAATAGAAAAAGAAAAAGAAAAACATCAGAAACTCGTCTTACGGAAACTACGAGAGTGACAGGGGTCTCCGCTCAATATTATCAGAAAGGGGTCCTCCCTAGTAATACTGAGCAGGGACCGCTGATCTTGAAAGCTGCGCCTTCATTGGCAGAGGTCCTTGCTTGGATCATTGGCTGATGAGGAGGTCGCTCCTGAAAATGAGAATATGATCAAATCGAATCGAGTCGGCCTAAATTGTTTTTTTTGCTATTCTGGGCAATCATTACGTGCCGTAATTTTCTCGCAGACATAAAGTCGGGTTTACGGCCAGATCCATTTGGGTACGGCAATGAGAAACGATTGCTAATGCAGCTTTACTACGGCTTTTTCCAACAAATTACTCGTTCCAGGCCATCTAGGAATGCCCCATTTTGTTTCACACATGGGTGGCCTACTCTACGATGTTATATATGTTTTCCCTGGCACATACTATTTACAAAAACCAGACCTTATGACTCATATAAATGGAAGAGATGTCGGGATGTATATGTAGATGTATAATCCAAAAAATCGGACCTTATGCCGCACACTTCCCTCTGAAAGAAAGTGGAAACAATGCGGAAATCCACGTCCTCAGTTAGCACTGCATCAATTAGGAAGATATGCCGAGAGAGAATTTATTCAAATAACAGTATTGGACAGATAAACAACAGGATGTCTCTTCTTTCACTGCCCAGTCAGTTTCCTGACTGACCTCAATGCAAATCCTGTGCTTTAAGGAGCTTCAGACCAAATTTTACTTCTATCAAGTTCTGATCTTGTTTTCTTTTTTGGCCTGTGTTTATGTTTTCCTTTTATTTCCGGTTTTTTAAGTAAGGGAAATCTGAACGATGAGGGTATGGACTGGGATGTTCTTCAGGATTTATTGAGTTTGATTCAGGTGTCCATAGAAGTTCGTGAATTCACTCTAAATATCCTCAGTGGTTTCAGTGAATGGTCTGGGATGTATGGTAAAAGTGTGTGGTAGCAACGAAAAGAACGAATTACGGCGATGCCCTGATGTTGATGGATCATGCGGAAATTTTCACAGCGAAAGGTTTGTTGACCGAAATTTGAGACTTTCTTATGAAGCATTGCAAAGTAAGAGCGAATAGAAACTGTATAATGGATTAACGCATATTGATCGCCGCCCCGCAACCGCGCGCGCGTCTGTAAGCGTTTTGATCAGGGTTTAACACTGTTCTAGTGATTGCTTTTCATGGTTAAGCTTATACTAGTCAATATTGTAGCATTTGAGCAATGATAATTATTGAATTTTTTTCAAGGACTAATGGAGAGATCGTCGATGGTGTGGACATCCGATGCCCAGCAAATGCTCCAGTTTATGCACCGATTGAGGGCGAGATGTACTTCTGGAGGCCATTCGGTGGTGCTGCCGACAGGTCGTGTGCCGATCATGGGGCTCGTATTGAAGGCACAGGGCAGTGGCAAGGTAAATTTCGAAATTTTTAGTCGTCAATGAAATAAAATACACTAGGCGGAAAATCAGGATTGGTTGCCATTAGAAATAAGTCTAGCACTTTGGAAACATATGAGCGCCTTCGCTGACTCCATTCTTTTCAAGCACTATCATGACGGTTTGAACCCATTAGAACCCAGACGGTGGTGGTTTACTCCCCATCTCTGATCACTACTGACAATCCCCATTAAAGTATAAACGCTTCCATGGATTCAGGCTATGCTGTCCATATATCATCAGTGAAATTGGATTTTTACGGTGGTAGAGTCAAAGCTGGAGAAGAAATTGGCAAAGCACTCGACAGGCAAGTAACCAAGGAGATTAACGACAGGAATCTGTCACAGAACTTCCTGAAAAACACAATTTTTCAAGGACCTGCTTCGAACAGGACTCGCAGACTGAAATCGAACCTCATATAGAAATGAAACTCTATCGAGAAGGGAAACTGATCGATCCCACCTATCATCTTCAGAATTGTGAGTTGAATTTTTTTTATTACTGTGTAGGGTTCTCACTACAAAATGAGGCTATGACTAAAAGAGGTTTTACGCTCATTTTCGAGCTTCGTCCCAGCCTCCTTAATTTCTGGGGTAGTTAAAGGTTCGAGCTTGACCGAGGTGGCTCATCGCTGTAGTTACGAGTACACTTACCTTCCTCCTACATTTGGCGTGTTCGAAGTAAATTAGTTTCCGTTCATACTAGGAGCCTACACGGCCTTCTTGTTCAACTGGAAGCCTTATCATTTTCTTCTTTTTATGTAAGAACCATTCAGGTATGTGCACGGGACAGATCTGCGAGTCAAACTCAAAGAACAAATTGCTTGGCGAGCCATTCAAATCCGACAAGTAGGAGTTGAAATTTGCCTAAAACGTCGAAAAAATCAATAAAATCGATTATTTCGGGACGAAAAGGCTGGTGAATCCTAAATATTCAGACGATACAACGGTGTCCGTGGATGGGACATTGAATGTCGAATGGTTGAAGATGAAGATGGTGGTGAAAAACGAGCCCCATTGATCTATTCACCAATAGCCGGTGAGCTAGTGGGAAGGTGAGAGAACCTGAGTAATCTACTTTTGCTAATCGACAAATCCTAGCCAATAATGAAGATTCAGAACCCGGCTGGTTTTTGATCCAAATGGTGCCTATACAGGATGCGACAACGATGGCATGTTTATAGTGGGCACTGGCGACTGGATAGGTATGTTAGCGTCATACTTCGAAAATCAGCAAAACCTTGAAAAAAAAGCAAAGTAGAATGTCTTCAAATATTTAAGTTGAAGGAAATCACCGGGAATTCTTGTTTTGGGAAGGGATTATACACCTCACCGACCCCTGAAGTTATTTGGCTTGGGTTCAAATTTTTGGGCTGGACATTTTGCTGTGAGAGCTTTCTGGTTTAAAACTGTCTTGTAACTCCGTGCACAACTTAGAATCGATTACCATTATTCAGCTGAAAAAAGATCAACTTTTTTATTTGTAATCAATCCGACTACAATTAGCAACCGCAACGCGTGCGCTGACGCGGAAACACCCTATATGTCGTGGAGTCTGAACCCAACTAGTGGAGAGAGCCAGAAATTTTTATTTAGTTTGTATTTTTTNTTTTTTCAAAAGGAACAACATTTTTTCATTTCAGGATTTGAAGTACGCCTGTATAATGTTAAAACAAGGGAGGATATCGGATTTGGACGAAAACGAATTGTTCAAGGAGAACCTATCGGCACGCGACTTGAATGCGATAACAGCCCAGATAGTGTCTTCCTTGAGGTAAACTTCATTCTTCTCTAATTCTTTTTTTATAAAAATTTAAATAAATTTAAATTTGGTTTCCGCATTCTTTCGATTTTATCTTCAATCACTGGAATTCATCTGGAATAGATCCAAGAAGTATAGAATAGGTAGAGGGAGGTGAGTAGGATCTGTATTGCTTTCTAAACGAGAAAGAGCAACGAGAAAGCATATAGGTAGGGATCGCATCCAACTTTCCGGTCTGGGGAATTGGATTCTATTCATGCAGGTTGCGCCCTAAAACTCTCAGGGCTGATTAATCGGGCCCTTAATAATTCGGTGGGGTTAAGTTTTAAGTCGTATCCTTTTCTGTACGTCCATATCATCATACATCAAAAAGTTGTGGCAAAGTGCATGGCGCATCCTGAGGCTGCCTTACATTCTGCGTTTTCTTTTTCCTCATATCACAATCGAAAAAAGCTACAGTTTTCTTGTTTAGACACTCTTATGTGTGGCGTATTCTATTGCTGCTGTCTTTTCGATTTCAATATTCCTTTTGCCACTTTATTTAATTATATTGTTTGTTTACGTAAGATGTAAACAAAGGCATGCCATCGTCGGCATATGACCCAAAAAATCCACTAACTGAAGATTGCTCTTACAGGTTCGCTATCAAGGCCGTGTGGTGGATATCAGTGATGTGATATCGGCCGAAAAATGCCAATTGCCACAATTACCGGACCTGTTCAAATAGGAAGAAAATAATGATCTTGTAAAATCGTATTGATGAAAAGTGTTCTTATGATTGATTATTTCATTTCATCATCCTCATGAATGCTCAGTATTGATCGTGGTTGATTTGCATATTTTCCATTGATGATGGTAAAGATATCGATTTAAAAATTAGCTGACATGGTCTAATGTGGGATATAAGCTTTCTTACCGCTTCGCCGCGGTGCGCACAACTGTCTTGAAATGCGGACACCCCAAAAAAGGATGGTGTACACAACTCGTTTTTAATCTGGTTATAAAACCAAGGCATTGCACCTTCATATATCGAGTTTGGTCTAGATTCATTTACGGCTATTTTTAGAATACTGAAGTGGGAGCGCGGCAAAGCTTTTGGGTACTGCCCTGAACGCGCGAGTTTTTCTCATGTCGCGCCTGCCTGTGCGAAAAATTCGCGCGACCCTTTATCTCACATGTTATTCTGCCCTACTAGTGCATCACAGTGCTGTCATAAACTGCTTTTGCATCGACCAGACTAGCTTTCACGAGTCTTATATAAGAAAAGGGAATCGCCTCCGTAGGAACTCTGATGACACCAGCTTGCGACCCAATTCATACCACGCCTCCTTCGATCCAGTGTCCTAAACTTTTAGAGTGTTTATACATTATCCTTTTCGTAGCTCTGTGAATGAAACGCCTTCTTNTGTGCGAAAAATTCGCGCGACCCCGTATCTCACATGTTATTCTGCATTGCCAGTGCATCACAGTGCTGTCGTAAACTGCTTTTGCATCGACCAGACAGGCTTTCACGAGTCTTATATAAGAAAAGGGAATCGCCTCCGTAGGAACTCTGATGACACCAGCTTGCGACCCTATTCATACCACGCCTCTCGATTCTCGATTCGAAACTTTTAGAGTGTTTATACATTATCCTTTTCGTAGCTCTGTGAATGAAACGCCTTCTTTTTCACAATTCGAACGATTCTAGTCGAAAAAGCGAACGACTATCGTCAAAAAACTTTCTGACCGCTCCCGTCTACACTAAGAGTCCTGTATGACATCGCCGGTGACACACACGAACAGAATGAGGACACGCCTAAAAGAGCTATAAACGCACGTAGGAGGAGAACAGAAGATTCCCTGCTTCGGAGTAATTGTGGCCTTTGTGAGGGTCAAACGAACTGGGATAGGGTCACTCATAAACCTTTAGGTAGGGTGAGATTGCCTTCACCTCGACCTAATTCTTCTCAGGAAATCGGCAAACAATACCGTAACCCATCCTCGGAGTACGGTAGCCATCTTCCTTTATCAGTATGTACATACTAAATTATGAGTGTATATGGCTGGACATGCAATTTTAATTAAGGAAAATGTGACCCTGTACATATTCAACGACCGACGTTCACAGCTAGAACGGGAGTTTAGAGTGATCTCAATTTGCTACCGTAATATCACAACTGCTTGACAATGCAGCTAGTTCTCGAGTAAAGAAGACGGATTTTTCAAAGTCCCGGGGATGTAATATGCAGTAACCCAAAGACACACACAAGTGCCTCCAAACACCCGTCACATATACAACGCCACAAAGGGCACCTGGAGTGAGTGTTGGCGCATACTGTGGGTTGAACGCGAATTAAATCTCGCCACCGGCTGCCGTTTGAGTTACTTTCCTGCGCGAGGGTGTTTGAATTTGAAACGACGTGGTAGTCTTGAAACCAGCCTCGCGTAAACAACACTCGGTAGAATGGCTTGCGGAGTATCAAATCGATATAAGAAACGAAACGTTT